GGCACATTGACTCACGATACGCGCTAATCGGGCTGTTTCGTATCCGCACGATCCCGTAACGACATTTGTATAGTTTATAGATGTGTCGTCACTCCTGGGTATCGGCCTTTATGCCGCGTCATTTATTGGCCCAATCTCCCCGCCAGCTGACTGATAAGTTCATACAGTTGACTAGCACATAGGAGCGTAAAGACTGAGGCCAACACTGGCGGGTTCATCCTCATCGCACGTCAACGTATTCCTTTCTGTAATCAGTCTGACGCGTCTGAATCTCTAACGACGCATCAAGACTGGTTAACTGGAAGATTACAAGCTGACAGAATAACTCGGCCCTCCTTCAGGTGGAAAGTTGGGTTAAAATAACTCATTAAAATGACCTTACCTCTATTCACTATTATGCGATCCGAGCTGCCTTCGTGTAAACTTGGTTTATTTTCTCGAGATCAGGTCGTCTTTGAAATGCGTCAATAGGCTGGTTAAATTTTTTGGCCACTACATCCGAGCCCACCTCCGGTCGTCATGAAATTTTCTTTCCATCGGATCACAGTGGGTGCGAAAACAAAGGGCGCGATGGCTGTTTCGCAAGTCTCCGTTCCATGCGACACATGACAGAAGTTGTTGCTCTTCACGGTTAACCTGTTATTATTTATTCCACTACCTCCTATTTTATTTGAACCTACTTCAGGCCATCCGCGATGGTGTGATGGAGGCTATCGTGGACCGTGACCAAGGATGCATGATCACGACAGAAGCCAGTGACCTTTATTCTACCCGCGAGCCCATGGACCAGTTCCATCAGCGCATTCGATTTTGTTTGGGTATTCGCAATCAAGCAATTAAGGCCATGCGTTATCCACCAAAGCAATACAGCAAAGACCTGGAATCAGCTGAGGTAAGAAAGAAACAAATATCTGACAGTTGATATATCGCTCATACTTTCGCCGGTTTAAATGATTCATTTTCAAAATTCTCTGTAGGAGCGTCGGGAGAGAGAACAGCAAGAGCTCGAAAGTGCGAAGGAATTGTCGGAAGAGGATTTTGATGGATTTCCCTGAATATTCTACTCTGGCATGTGTTTTTTTAATCTGTACTGGCAGTTTGTTCGTCAGGATGGATCTGTTTCCTAATTGACGAATAAAGTGTTCTACTTATGAGTCCTTCCTTCATGCCTTCATATGCGACGTAAAATAATCTCTTTGGTGTTTTTCGGGCATAACTATTGCTACTGCTCATACTTGCTGCGACCGAAACACGATCATCTGGTCGCGTATCGTAGTGCATTTTACTCACGCATGCCCATCCATATGGAAGTTTGCTGACGTTTCTTTGACTGCGCTGTTTAAGAGTACGAGGCAGTTGTCTTCATCTGTTGCCACCACTATGAGCTGGGTTCGCATTCATCGTGTGTGTGT